AGATTCTCAGCTAAGGTGAGTGATTTTGGTATGGTGAGTTTTCTGAGTTTCGCAGTTAGATTGTGGAGCCTCCGTTGTCATTATGGACGAAATCAATAGAACTTACTTTACGTGAGGATGAGCTTGCTAATAGACGCACGAGGAGGTCAGAATAAACTTATATAACACTCACTCCTAACTGAATTAGGCGCCAATGATGCTGTTCGGAACGAGGATGGTACCATCGCAATTAAACCATTCAGTTTGGAGAACTTAATAACATTGAAATATTTTATTCATATAGTGTGGTTTTTCCTGATTTATTTCTCGACACCTGTTTGAATTTTTTAATGATGGGTATATAAACCCCAAAATCGAATTCCTCATTTTACAGAATTATTACCATGAACCTTCAAAAAAATTATCGTTTGTTTATAATATACATGCTGTCATTTAACAAATGATTAACCTTGTTATTAGTCTTTTACCCCTATAATTATTCATTTACATAATTTCAAATCATGAAGAACATTTAATCTCGATTTTAATATATTTTATTTGACTGTTAAAAATGATAATTATCCGATGACAGTATGAATTCACGTTATTCTGGACCCATCATTACTATTGTTTTATTCAAAGATATGAGAGGGGAAGTAACTGTGCTACATTTTATTTGAAAAATGATAGTTATTAAAACGGTTTAAGACAAATTAGAATCAACTGAAGATAAACGTAAACAAGGCTGTTAGAAAGATACACAAGTATGCATACTCCATCTTTCTAATAGTTTTTTTAAACAGGAGGTAATTCAATCTAGTGTATGTAGAAAATAGTGTATATGAAATCAGTAACTGTATTTGAATTATCTAAGAAAATGATATTAATGGTCACTCGGTCAAGGGAAAATATTGAACATACTAACACACTAATATGATGCTGTGCAGTGTGATTGAAAATATACAACTACGCCGTTGGTCTAATGATTTACTCGTAGAATAAACTATGATAACTCAGTCACTAAGTATTATACAGAATTACAAGCATGCATTGAGTTGAAAAAAGTACCTGTAGATCTGGGATATCTGAACCAAACACAATAAGATGTGACAATCTTAAGCTCGACATACATGATATGTGTACGCCTCGTGCCCAAAGACTAGTAATACCAGGTTACATCACAGATATCCTTTATCTACTAAATAAACCATACAAACAATGGTATACTACCTATTTATTGGAAAGTATTATAGAATATCTTGAGAAATTTATAAAATCAAGGCAAGTTGAAGTAACTCCGCGTGTAGCTCTTCTAGAGTTACTGCCGGTCCCAAGCCCGGGTAAAAAGGAGAATTAGGCGTGGGGTTAGCGACCCCATCCCATAGAAAACTAACTCGCTAAAAAACGCTAACCAGAAAAAATAATTCAAACCATTTAAACTGTGCCCTAGGAGTTAGAAGGTATTCATTTAGAACTATGACGCCTCATGGTGAAAGCATTACGTCGGGAAATAGAATCAGATATGAAAAGGATGAATAACAACTGGAAAGAGCTGGAAAGGATTGCCCAGAACAGGGTTGGATGGAAAATGCTGGTGAGCGGCCTATGCTCCTTCACGAGGAGTAACAGGTGTAAGTAAGTAAGTAAATTGAAATGGAACACATTAAGAATCCGACATACTCTAAAGGACTGTCCATATAGTATAAATGAGACATGAATAAATAATGACTAGGAAGGACTGCAGTATACTCAAGATCAGTCAACCTGACTTGACAGACTGAAAACGGTTGTTTAAGAAATTACTGACACATGACGATTAAACAGATTTTCATGAAACAAATACGCAAAACAGAATAAATAAAAAAGATACTCATATATCTCCCTTCATAAATCTCTGGTAAGTTATACTGCCCATTAGAATTGGTCTGTGAAATATTGACTCGAGCAACTAGTGTTTCACTTTTAGATATTTTCAGTGATCTATAGTATTTTGGAGTCCTTTCCATTAAATATTCACATTAAGACACCAAAAAATACATGTTGAACGAATAAATATTCATTTCTAATTAGTTTCTCTGAACAATCATATAGAATTTGTAAATAAGTGTAAAACAAATACAAGTGGTAGTAAGTCAATCTAATAATATGGTAACCAGTTATTAAGACTATGTCTGTGAAATTAATACTAAAATGAAACTTTATAAAAAGCTGGTTACCATGACTAGTTGCTTAAGATCAAGAATAGGAATTGCAATTAAATATGCGTTTTGTGTTACGTCAGATTATTAATAAATAAATAGTAAAACGAGTGTAATGAAAATTAGATGGTCAGATTATTAGACACATTGTATAAGATTAAGATATAACAAAATCGTAAAATTTGGAAAATTTGTGGAAAGGTAATAAGTAGGACAAGGGAGATTAAAAGGCTATACAAAGTATTTCTGTATACAGAAATTAGGTATATTGATATACATTCCTACGGCTTCTGTTGTATGTAGGAGTCAAATTCTGAAGGCATAGAGAGTAAGTTCAATGAGATTCTATAGATAACTTTAAACGATGAATTTATATCGACATAGTGACCAGTATTAAGAGGGTGTGCCAAAATAGACCTAATTGTTTTTTATCCCTTGTTAGGAAATTTGACGGGGACCCATGTCTACTGGGTGAATCATGAATAAGAATTAATTTCTCTTTGGAAAGTCACCACAACAAATAATTTTGGATCTGTTGGCTGTGTTTGGTCAAGTTTCCCTTATATTGTAATGGGATAAAGCTCAAAAATGTGCACATTGGTTTTATGTAGGAGGTTTACGATAAACAATACTTTTTATTGTGAATAATGTGAAAGATTTGATGTCATTAAATACAAAGACAGTGGCATAACATCTATCCCGATTCTAAAGTAAAATATTACCTAAAGATGTTTGAACTACATTTATGCAGTTGAAATATAGATAAAAAGTGTAAAATATCAATTGATATTGGTGTATACAGTCACTTGGTATCGTACTAAACGCGATCAAAGTCAATTTATATGGATTTACCTTCCTAGAATTGATTAGTAAATACTTTGATTATTTAGATAATTGACTTTTAATGTTTTAGCATGAGAGAATTTCCCATACTTGGAGTACAAACAATCATTTACACAAGTGCAAGTTGGAATCCTGAGTGTCAAATATTTCTAAACACCCTGACAATTATTTACCGGGCATAGTGAGTTATTTCATACGAAACAAGCTTGTTACAAAAAGCATTTGGACATATATACTATCTTATGAACTATTAAATCCATTAACTAAGTAAATATTATTGTACTGACTCTTGAGTCATAACTACTGGGAAGCCAGAGTTAATATTTTTTTGTCTAGACTGAAGTGAAAATGGGTCTTAACGAAAGATACAACAGCTTAAAAATGAGCTTAAAACACTGATCCATTATTAAGCTAGAATAATGTTAGATTTCGTTTGTCGCCAGATTAACATGACATTAAATACTAGCGCTAAAAAATTCAGTTTAAGAACCTCATATCTCGTTTTGAGAGATGATAATTAAATATAAGTCAGTGAAACAAATTTTTTTAACTTGTCACTTGGAAGCATTTTCTCAACTGGATTCCGCAAATGTAAAGGTGAGATTATATTTTAATTACGCTGTTGATTATTATAAATATTATGTTTTATGTCTCAAGTAAATGAATACCCTTTTGCTCACATTAGTTACAATCATAATGAAATAGTGGACAAAATATAGTACTCAAATGAAATTAGTAGTTTATTACAGCATAGCATAAAAAGAATTAGGATCAACGGTGAGTAAATACACAGGACAAAAATAAACAAGTAGAGAATTAACGATATCGCAAGAAAGGTGGAATTATGTGAAATTCTACGTGACACGATATAAATTTTAAGATAGAGGAAACCTGCAACTCATAATCACCTCTTTTAAGTGTGCACTTTTTCGCTATAATATTGAAACTATTTTCATGATATTTAGAAATCGGTAATTTAGTATGCAGTAAACTACAGTGAGAACTTAATCAAATCTCATGTTTGCTATCAAGAAGATAATTACATTGAGCATATATATATATATATATATATATATATAGTACGCTATAATGCACTACTAAACGCGTGATATACAGAATGAGGGATGTTTCTACTGGGAAACATTCTGTATAACTTTTTATTTGCACAGATTGGCTTGCTGTTAGAGATTTTTTTATCTTCGAAATTGATTATTTAACTCAGAACACTTGATGAATTGCACTATTGTATACCACTCCCTCTCTTCCTTTCTTTTGTCAAAATATTTTTATCTTTACGAATTCGACAACCTGAATATCTGCAATATATTTGTCTAGTGTGATCGGATCAAGTTTCGTTTGTAAACTTGATAATGATTTACAGTCGGCAAAACATCATAAGATCATATCGTTCATTCGAGTAATTAGTGTATTAATACCAAATAGTACATTTGTGATATTTCGTCTTTATGTAAAATTGAAATGATTCCGTGAATATCAACAAAGTAACTCTAGGACAGAAACAAGGACAACAGGTTTTTCAATGTTAGACAGTTCAATTTCAAATCTTCTTCATGAAAATATTCATTAGAAAAAAGACGTACACTAGAAATTCTGTCCTTCACTTTTATACCCATTTATAAATTGTTATGTGTATACAATTGGAGTGGAAGTATGACATTCAACAATAGAAAGTTTACATCAGTATTTGCTAACACTATCTTCGTGTGAAATCCTAAAAACAACCTGTACAGCACACGGAAAATAAGAAAGCATTTGAAGAAGTCATTACGATCAATTCAAAGATACACTGAATTCTTAAAAAACAGTTTAGCTACATTCTCAAAAAAATTATCATGTAATCGTGGGAGATTACAATTTATGTGAATGGATATTATTTTGAATAATTATGTGACAAACCAGTGATCAAAGAAAATTAACATTTTGCACTTTGGGATATCTATATTACAAAGATAGACCTACCAGCTTTGGCATGATTATTCGTGCAATTAAGCAACGCACTTCTCCACTAACATCATCCTTAACCTTTACTATTTCGTACTTGGGAGTATCACCTTTAAAAGGTGGATCAGGTAACTCTATCACTTTTGGTTTGGGTGGTCTAAAATATTTACAAATAAGATTATACATATATACTAACTTACTGAGAATCATTCATTTCAATAATCGCAGGACGACTAGAAGTTCGAATACATTGTTCTTGTGGTTTACCCATACATTTCTTATTCTTTAAAACAATCCAACCTGTAAGATTAAATTAGAAAATAATGGATACAAACTGGATGCTTACTTCTTTCAAGTTCGATGCCATACTTATTTTCCAAGCCTTCGAATATCACTGTCATCAAAAATGCCTCAAACAATTCTGATGATTTGACTTTTTGGTAGAATTGTGGGTTGATTATTACATCATAAGCGGTACAGCCTTTCTGAGCTTAAAATTAAAGGAATAAAGTATGAGATTACAAAGGTTTTTAAGAACGATATCTACTTATGGAAGTAGTTTCATCAGTACATGCATTGGTGTTGATTACAGCATTAATTTCTTATTAAGAGGAAACAGACGGTTCAATTTGTGAATTTTGTTTTCATTAGTACTCATCAACAACGTATAGAAAATTTGATGATACTTTGATTGTTTATGAGCTATCTATGTGTCTACGAGAATTCTATTATTTATCAATTTATGACTGTTATTGAGGCTACACTAAACAACAAACTACTTGAAGTGTTTTACACTTAATATCCAGGTTCACACTAGAGACAATATATATTTAAGATGTCATTTTACATTTCGTAGATTTAAAACGCTTTATAGATATCCTAAGATTTGTTAAAAGGCATTATTAATATTATGCACTTCATCTGCATCCCTACTCAATATGATATCATTTGTATACTTTCAGCTACTTCATACATTTTCAACTAAACCAATCAATTAAAAACACAAGTAGATGATTACTTCCAGAACTTTTATGAAGTATGATTTTGGTAATTTATTAACACACTTTCAGTGAATAAATGGTGATTGATTAGGGATAGTAAATGATACGATGTGACCAAGTGGATAATATTTGTGGTTTCAAACCTAACTACTTATTTTTATTTTTTATAAATTTATCTAATTGGTGTTACTGACTGACTGGGAACAACCAAACAAAACTACGTAAAGCGAGAACGATGATGATGTCCACAGTCACTGAGATCCATATCAATGACAATACAAAAGAATTTGGTTAGAAAATATCAAACGCATGACCTATCGATATGTAACACTATTCGAAAGTCACCAATTATTTTATTGTTTTGATAATTCAGAATGCTTCTGGTTCATTACGACAATGAGAAAGGTTGAAAAGTGAGTTGACACTTCTAGTACACATTTGTTGTGTTTTCCTGAGATTATAACCCCTCAAACTTTCCTACAGAAACTGGCAGCATTTTGAGTGCTTGTCCAGGACTATCCCGGGATATGTAGAACACAAAGTGATTCTACTTTCTCTATGATTGAGAAACAAAAGTTGAATGCGGATAACAAGAATATAGGTACCAAAACGTTGAGAGGCAACCAATGAGTAAGAAATTTTGTGATTAGATAGTAAATCATTGTGTAGTAGATTAGAATGATATTATGAGTGAAACAAACAGTTGATTCACGATAACCGACACATTCCGTAAGTGATTAAACCAGTCGTCAAAATTTAGATCGTTAGCCAAACGACGGTCTAATGTATGTAACGCCTAAACCTTGGGTAAGGTGTTTGGACAAAAAACAATATTTTGTGATACTAGTGGATCAATATAATCCGGGAAGATTGAAACGTTGTCAACATAATGTAAGCATTAATTCTAGTTCTAGTGTTTGGAAAAAGACCCGCTCGTACGATGTTTTTTCGGCCTAGAATGAGTAAACATTCTATTTGGCTCGGAAGCAGGCGAGTCAGAAATCCCCAATATGTTCTAGGAATTCGATATTGGTTTAGACCATGTATTTAGACCTTATTAGTATCACGACTGTTTCGAAGGTTAAAATGTTATACATTTTTTCCAGAATCGTTACACCAAATGCATTTATTCACGAAACATAGTTAACACGGAACCTTCACCTTGTCGCAATCTTGGTTTGCTGGTTGAGTTTCGTGCACTTAAACATCCTTACACGACACAGAAGTAAAAACTGAATCAAAATCTGTGATAGACAAAATGTATATTAGTCATTCATAAACAATTCAGGACTTAGAACGAATATATAAGGGCCTAAGTTTTCCTACTTTGAAGTAGCACCGCATAGGGGAACAAGCGGTCCAAAATTTGTTTTTATTTATACAATTCGTGTAAACTAAGGGATTGGATGATACTCAAGTGACTATATATCGGCAATGCTCTGTGCTGTCTTGAAAAGCTTCGCTTTTAACTAGAATTAAAAGCTCGGAAATAGTTAATAATCAATGACTAACATATATTATTCAGGACTGAAATGAGGCCAACAGTTACGACTGGTAAACTTTATTTAGTGAGTAGATCAAAGCAATCGTAACAAAATAACAGGAACAGTATGTGTCTGCCACAGGATTTGAATTTCAGGAACCGTTTATACGGTGGTCCAGATAACCCAAATAACTGTGAACCGATAAATACTCTCTAATAGTGCACTATTCATCAGTGTTTTTAAGCATGAATACACTGAATCGATTTAAATAGTACTGTTAACCAGTGAATATTGCGGATGAACTAGACATTTTGTTCTCACTGAGTAACCGAATACGTGGCATCGTAACTTCGGTGGTGTCCAGGCGATACCTGAGTTCGCAACATCAAAATCGTCGTAGTAGAACCTTAAAATTCCAAAAATTCTATAATGCCATTAACTTTTAGTAACACTGAATGCATACGTATGAAGCGATCTGTTCGGTAATAATGAACGCAGAATTTCTTGGGATCGAATATTAGGATCTCGTCTGGATAAATAATCCTATAGATAGAAAGCAAAGGGGATTTGAAGGAAGCAGGGTATGAAAATAGTACCTGAGTCAGTCTCAGCGTGCGGTTCTCCTATGCACATTGGGACTTTGAAGGGTGGGGAGTTGTCGATATCATTAAGGATTGATCTTAATTCCTCTTCACTTAGATCCTTCGGAACTGGGACCTATAAAAATCTTCAAAAGGGGTACCCATTTACTTTATCAGAGGTACATAAATTCACAAACACTTTTTCCTGATTTTTAGACTTCAACTTTACACAAAACCCTGTGATCATTACTACCGAGTGAAGGTTATCAAACCTGGATCGGGCACGATTATAATTGAGCCTTGCTGCGTATTTCGTACAGGGACCTTTATTATCAGATGACAGATAAGTATAATCCATACCTCATCTTGGACTATGTCGAAAATCCCCATTCCTAAAACTTTTTGAATGTTGCGGGTATTACTTTGACAAGGTAATCTGAAAATGTGCTCGTTCACTATTTCAAGGGTATCTTCCTTTTTTTATTGTAGAAATATTACTTTAGAAAGAACCAAAGTATTTGATGAGTCTATAATTAGTGGAAAACCTTTGAACAATGCCAAAAATACTTAGAGAATATTAACCTACCAACAAGTAAATATGAGGATTATAAACTAGTGGAAGGAATTAGGATTAATATTTGTAGTTGATTGCTAGGGTTAGGAATTAAATTTAGGGTTTTCATCACGAGCTGACATCTGCTGCATACCAAAAATCTATTTTGCTAAATGAACAAATTAATTTCGCGCCAAAATTCGAGACATGTTATCTTAAATCTGATTGATTAGTTCATAAATTGTATTCTAGCCGAAAGTTCTCATACACTCTTTTCGTCATTCTACTGTATTCCCCGTCTTCCTCATATCCTCCCTTGTGTTTTTCACCTCCGATATATGGAAGTGATTATCTTGATGATGTCACTGGTATTCAGTGTTTGACAACGCTTCTACCAGTAACACCTAATATGATTTGTACCCACCGAGAGAGATCAAAAGACAGAGTCGAGGAGATCGGAAGAGTGTATTTGGCGATTACCAATATATCGGAATTCTCTGATCTAATCTGGCTAGCGATTGCGGTTGATGTTGAGCACGGCGTTACCACACGTGATCTGGTGCGGATGCCTGACCGAGCGCCTTCAGCTAGATGAGTCCACTAAAACATATGGTCAGCATCCAATGTCGAAAACTTACAGGGCTATTTATTTTGGGGATTTATTTACCGCTACAGATCACTCCCCCCTAGTGGGGCAGTGACGACCCTAAGACGTGGCCAGCCAGAAGTTTAAACCCAACGAGTTTGTCGTTGGTAAACACTCTTCTGATAGCTTACTAAGTGTAGCAGCGTCTGGTCGTCTTTCCTTACTATATGGGACCGAGGTACAACATAGTAAAAAAAGAAAAAGTTACAACGAAAATTTCGACTCCTCGTAAACTGCATCGTTCTTTTCCAGCCGTCCTGGAAAAGAAAAAAGAATATGTAAGTGCATGTCGAAATACACTCGTATGTGCGTAAAAACACAATGTCGGCGAAAAAATGGAAAATAAACTCAAGCACACGTAATAGCGTTAAAAAATAATTTTGTTTTTTTTGTTTTTTTTAAAATAAAAATATAAACATATAGGCATATTAAAATTGTTTTTTTTAATATTATATATTGTCAAAAGAAAAATCGAGATAATATAAAATGTCGAGTAGTGTCTTACGTGCAGTAGTCGTTTAAATGTTCTGGAAATCTTACTCTTCTTCCAGAACGCGTCGTTTTAGGTTTATTTTCAGATACATTCGGAGTATCATCGCTAGTGTTGGTTGTCGGTTGAGGAATTATGAGTGTAGGAGTCGTGTTGTGCGATTGTACCGAAGGAAAGTCGACGTGAATAGGATTTCCTTCTAAATACGCTGCTTTTAAGCGATCGATGCTGATGCTATCGTTTGTTCCGTTCTTATCGACTATATAGTACTTAGATTCACGTTGAAGAACTTTGAAAGGTCCTTCGTATGCTGATTCGAATGGTCGTCGATGCGAGTCTCGACGAACGAAAACGTGTGTACTATATCGTAAGTCAGGTTGAACGAAAACATCAGTTGATTGAGGTCGAGTGGAAGCAGGTTTAACTGAACGCATTGCGTTTGTAAGCCTGTTCGTGTAGGAGGTTAGATCCATGTTCATTGAAGAGGACGAAGGATCCACGAATTCTCCTGGAAGTCGAAGTGTCGTTCCATAAACGAGTTGAGCCGCAGTGTATCCAATGTCAGCTTTCACTGCATTGCGGATACCTAGTAAGACGAGTGGAAGAGCGTCGGTCCACTGTGAAACGTTTGCAGCTGATAGTGAAGCTTTTAGTTGTCGGTGAAAACGTTCTACCAACCCGTTTGCTTGTGGATGGTAGGCGGTCGTTCGGAAGCGAGTGATTCCTAAAAGTGTGGTCAGACGACGGAAAAGATCAGATTCAAACTGACGTCCGCGGTCTGTAGTGATGGTTGAAGGGCAGCCGAAGTTTGCTACCCATCGTTCGACGAATGTGCGGGCCACTGTTTCAGCAGTGATGTCCTTGATAGGTACTGCTTCTGGCCATCGAGTGAAACGGTCTACGCAGGTTAAGAGATAAGAGTATCCATTTGAATCTGGTAAAGGTCCTACCAAATCCAGATGAACATGGTCGAAACGAGCATCGGGAGTTTTAAACGAGCCTAAGGGACATTTATTGTGTCTGATAACCTTAGATTTTTGGCAGCTTACACAGGAGCGTGCCCACTCCCTCACGTCTTTATTCATGCCAGGCCAGCAAAATCGTTCTGCTATAAGCTTGATGGTTGCACGAACACCTGGATGAGAAAGTTTGTGCAATGTATTGAAGACATTGCGTCGATAATGTTTCGGCACGATTGGGCGATCCCTACCTGTAGATGTGTCACAAAGTAAGGTTTCCTTACCTGTTCCCATCTGTTTGATGCGTAGTTTAAGTGTTGTGGACGATAACTCGTGCTGAAGATCAGTGTCTTCTTTTTGAAGCTCGGCGAGTTTAAGAAGGTCGATTCCTTGGAAACTGTTCAAGGAAGTTATGCGAGATAAAGCGTCTGCAACTACATTGTTTGCTCCAGAGATGTGTTGAATATCTGAAGTAAACTGCGAAATGTAGTCCAGTTGTCGAGACTCACGGGGAGAGTACTTGTCAGAAGGAGAGCTTAACGAGAAAGTGAGCGGTTTATGGTCCGTGAAAAGAGTGAATTCACGGCCTTCGATATAGTGTTGGAAATGCCGTACAGCACAATACATAGCTAGGAGTTCCCTACCGAATGTGCTGTACCTCGATTCGGTGTCTAGCAACCTTCTAGAGAAAAATGCCAAGGGTTGCCAGGAGTTGTTAACCCATTGTTGTAAGACTCCTCCGATTGCCGAGTCGGATGCGTCTACTGCGATGCTAATGGGTGCTCGGTGTCCTGATGTGCGAGCATTGTTGCTTTAGCGATCAGTTCCTTAACTGTGGAGAATGCTTTTCGTGCGGTGTCGTCCAAATTAATGGATTTCGCATTTCCACGAAGTTGGTCGGTCAGAGGTTTCATAAGTAATGCGCATTTCGGTATGAAACGTCTATAGAAACTTACCAGGCCGTTAAACGTGCGTAATTGCTTGACGGTGGTCGGTTCTGGGTAATCCAGAATGGCCGCCACTTTGGTTCTAAGGGGTCGGATACCTTGAGCATCGATAGTGTGTCCCAGAAAGTCTAACGAGTCGGTTCCAAATTGGCATTTCTGAACGTTTACAGTTATGCCATGTTTTTGTAATCGTTCGAAAACAAGGTCCAGATGCTTGAGATGTGTTTCTCTGTCCGGACTTGCGATTAGACAGTCGTCAACATACGCGTGTACGAAGTTGAGACCTCGAAAAACGTCGTCTATGAATCTTTGGAATGTTTGAGCAGCATTCCTTAGACCGAAAGGCATTCGCAAAAATTCATAGAGTCCGAAGGGAGTTATGATGGCGATCGGGAATGGTTTTCGCGTTCAATCGCCGATAGTCGCCAGTTGGACGCCAATCGTTGCTGTCCTTTTTAGGGACCATGTGCAACGGAGATGCATATGGGCTACTTGACGGTCGTATGATTCCTAAGTCCATCATGTGATCGAATTCGTTTTTCGCTAACCTTAGCTTTTCAGGAGCTAGTCGTCGTGCTTTAGAAAATACAGGTGGTCCTGTAGTCGTGATGTGATGTGTAACATTGCTGGTTACACACGGTAGTTTCGGTTGAGTTTGTTGTATCCCAGGGTACTTATCGAGTAGTGGTTGATAGAGTGGGTCTATCATATGTTTAACTGTGACTGGGGATACTCTACAACCAGTAAAAGAAGTTACGCAAACGGACAAATTAGTGTTTCCGTCTACTAGCCTCCGTTTGCGAGTGTCGATGATCAGATTGTGGTGTTGTAGAAGGTCCATACCAATGATTGGCATAGAAACATCTGCAACGACGAAAATCCAGTGGATGGGTTTGCGTAAACCCACGTTAAGGTAAACGTACCTTTTGCCATACGTAGCGATCGGTTTTCCGTTTGCCGCCTGTAAGTTTAGGGTCGATTCGTGAAGTCGGTCGTTAGGATTTGCTGGGAGAACGCTAACTTCTGCGCCAGTGTCGACGAGGTAGCGAACTCTCGTTGTCACATCTGTGACGAATAACAGACGGCTTTGTTCGCCGGCTACGGTTGCCGTTAACGCGTGCCGGCTTGGAAGTTTCCCGAATTGTTTTTCGAATCAGTCGGTTTCGTGTTGGGAAAATTGCAGGGTTTTCTGCAATTTCTGGAAAACTTTCCATACTGGTTATGATACCAGCACCAGTCGGGGTTATCTGTCTCTCGTGGTCTAGAGACAGATCGCTTACGAGAAATGCTTCTACGTGGTGTGCGCGATCTCTTACGGTCGGTACGAAGACTAAGATAACGCGTGAGTGTGTGACATAAGTCGGTTATATCATTCTGAGTCGTGTGAGGTTTTTCTTTGACTGAAAATACCTCGGTAGTAGGTTTCGTAATTTCTAGAATGCGGTCGGCAGATGCAGCTAGCTCGTCTAAGGCGTTGTTCTGGAACGAGACCAGAACTGCTTGCACCTGTTGGGGAAGTTTTGACAAGAAGAGTTGTTTGAATAGACCTTCGTCGAAAGTTCTTGGGCCTATAACCTCTCTCATCCGTTGCAACATGTCTGTCGCAGAACCGTGTTGCAGGTCGATGTTATTGAAGAGTTGATCTAACCTTTGTCGATCGGTTAGGTCTCCTCGTTTGAGAATCGAGCGTTTTAAGATTTCGTAAGGTTCGGAAACATCACTAGTAAACATACTAGGTGTTACGTACCTGTTGAATTCCCGCGGCAGTGCCTTGACTACTGCGAGGAATTGTGCA